ATTTTGTCTCTAGATAGATTTTCTAAATAAAAATAGCCATTTACTGTTGAAAGACGATATATTCCAATTATCTCTAGAAAAATATGTTTATTTCACAACTATCTAATGAGTATTAAATCTATCTGTAGACAAAATTTCAAATGAAAATTCTTCAATTCATTTTTCTTCGGAAGCTTTGGCTCTTTGTAAAGCGATCGTAGCCTTTCACTAGTACGCTGTGAACTCAAACAGTGGCATAGCCAGGAGGATCATGAGAAATGGTTCATACAATATACTGTTAATATCTTTGTTCTAGTGGTGAAGAGACGCCCGACCTAATCTATGTTTGATAATGCTACTGGTCCCGAAATCTTTTTAGACTTTTTCTTATGTCAATATACTCTATTGAACGAATTCTTTCCTTTATGGGTAATCTTTATTTAATGATTTCTTTTTCATAGCACCTTCAGCTACAAATGTCATTCGACAAGGTTCTAAAGCATTACCAACATTAGATGATCGGAAAAAACCAAATAGTGATAATCGTCTTGGTTCGAAAGGAACCAATGGTATTGATAAAGAACGTATTATTAATATAGATACACTTAATCCATATATGAATAAGTTAGTTTTGTTTTGTTTTTTTGTTCTTAAATAATTATTTCAATTTGAGTTATTAAAAAAACAAAAACAATATTTTTAGATGGACTATCAAAGCTCGTATAAGTAACAAAGGTCAAATTCGAACATATGAAAATGCACGTGGTCCAGGAAAATTATTCAGTTGTGATCTTGTTGATCAATCAGGTGAAATTCGTGCAACAGGATTCAATGCTGAATGTGATAGATTTTATTCTATGCTTGAAATTGGCGAAGTATTTGTTTCAATCATAAATATTTTGAAAGAACAAAAAAAAAAAACACATTCTCATTTAGGTTTATTATATTGCTAAAGCATCATTAAAAGCTGCTAATCGTCAATATAATAATACAAATAATGATTATGAAATGACATTTAATCATGATACAATTATTGAAGCATGTGATGCTGGTGAAGGAGAAAATATTCCACAAGTACAATTTAATTTTATTTCCATTAGTGATATAGCAAATCGATCAGCAAATAGTATTTGTGGTAAATAAATATCATAGAATGAATATTATTGTTATGTTTTTTTTTTTTATTTTCGTCTTTTAGATGTTATTGGTGTTGTTAAAAGTACATCTGACATGCAAACAATTGTTAGTAAAGCATCACAAAAAGAATTTAATAAACGTGATATACTTTTGGTTGATGAAAAAGCATCAATTTCAGTGACATTATGGGGTCAACAAGTAGAAATCATAGTTGACAATTTTTCAGTGACTATTAGTTTTTTTTTGTTCTGTTAGGCTGAAGAATTCGATGGTTCTTCACATCCAGTTGTGGCATTTAAAGGAATAAAAATTGGTGATTTTAATGGTATAGATTTTCAACAAAATAATTTCATCAAGAAGAAAAAAAAAATCAATTAAAAATAATTTGATTTTTTAGGTCGTACACTATCATGTATTAATAGTACATTAATTCGTCAAGATCCAACTGAAACACAACGAACGGTTGAACTTCGTGTTTGGTTTGATAATGAAGGAAAATCAATTGATTTACCAGATTTATCAAAAGGCGCTGATAATGGAAATCGACAAAGTTTGTTTCTTTCTTTAAATTTAATTATGAAGATTTATTATTATTATTATTATTTTAGCGGTCATAAAAACACTTTCTCAAATTGTTGCCGAAGGTCTTGGTCTTGGTGATAAACCCGATTATGTTAGTGTTAAAGCAATAACAACAATAATTAAAAAAGACACAGCTATTTATATGGTAAAAATAAAGCATATATTTACAAAGAATTCAAGTTTGTTTTTATTGTTTTCATTATGATAGATGTGTCCAGAAGAAAAATGTAGTAAAAAAGTTATCGATGAAAATAATGGAACATATCGATGTGAAAAATGTAATAAAACTTATAATAATTTTAAATGGGCTTATATGATTTCGGTATGTATTTAAAAATAAAATTAAACCAAAGTGAAATAGATAAGATTAATTTCATTTTAATGCAACTTTTTGAGCAAGAAAATACATAGACTATATAGTGACATTTCGCCGACGATCGTTTTTTTTTCAAAGATTTGAATCAGTATGATGAACTAAGAGTATCACAGTCACGAAAATAATGTTTGCTTCTGTCAAACGATGTGATTGCTCTCTTGAAATAAGCAACTACTCTTTGAGCAGAAAATCATCTTTAGTCTATGTTTCTCGATATAATTTTAGGCTGAAATTTCTGATGTTACTGGTGCACAATGGGTCACTATATTTCGAAATGAAGCTGAAGCATTACTTGGTGTTAGTTCTGATGAATTTGGAAATCATAAACTTAATGTAAATATACATATTTTCATTAATAAAAAAAAAACAACATTTTCATTTATATTATTTTGATATTTAAGCAAAATGAAAGTATTATGGATGATATTATACGAAAAGCAATGAATCGTGAATTAATATTTAAACTTCGTGCTAAAGCTGAACAATATAATGTAAAGAAAATAATCTAATTTTTTTAAAATAATCAATAATATAATTTGTTTTTTTTTTAAGGATGAACGAAAAATTCGATTTACATGTGTGAGTATTAATAATATGGATTGGCCATCACATGGACGACGATTAATTAATGAAATCAATCAAATGGAACCTATACAAAATTGATTAGATATTATTCTTATATACTACATAGTTTTCTCTCTTTTTTTTTGTTAAATATGTTTTCAAAATATTGTATAGTTAGAAAAACTTGTCTCCTCATTTCTTTTTTCTTTTTCTGTATTTTTCATGGTCTTGTGCTATTTTGTTTTCTCTTGCTCTTTTTGATACATGAATGACAAAACATGACGACAGCAAAAACAAAAAACTACACATTACATGATACATTAAACAAAAAAAGCAATTTTGTTTTTTTTTTGTTAAAAAGAAAAACAAACATACAACCACCGGAAAAAAATAGGACAAATTTATAACAAAAAGCTTAAGGACATACATATATATGAATATACTATTCATTCTGTATTGTAAGAATATTGATCTGACTTATCATTTTTGGTTTTATGTTGTTTATGTTTTTTTGATGAACAACACATAAGACAACATAACCATGTATGACATTGACGATAATCATGACAATATTGATCAGAATATCGTTGATAATCACGTTCAAATACATCTATGGCACATTCAAATACTTCTCGAATATGAAAGCGAAGTACTGATGAACATTCAATAAATGCATTACATTTTAAACGTTTAGCTAATTCTGAACCTTGTCGTGTTGTTATCATTGGTGATGATATAAGATCAGTTTGAGAATTACTTGCATTATTATTTGTACGTAGATCAATACAAAGTGCAACAAGAATGACAAGACTTGATGAATCATGACTACGAACATCAGGCATCCATTTTTTTTCGACATTATCAAATGAAGATGGTTGCATACATGAATAACATACCAAAAATACGTCTGTATTGGCATACATCATTCGACGAAGTTGTTCCCATTCTTCTTGACCAGCTGTATCAAACAATTCAAGATTATAACATGTTTTTGAATTTCGATTCATCACACAAGCAAAATTATCAAAAACAGTTGGTTCATAAGCCGAGGGAAATTCATCTAGAAAACTTAATTAATAGAAAAAAAAACAACATTTTTTTCTTGTTTTTCTCTTACTTGTTGCAAAGACAGTTAACAAACACGTTTTTCCTATAAATAATATGAAAGATAAAAGCAAAAAAAAGAAAATTTTAGTTAAAGGAAAAAAAAAAACAACGATTTGAAATACCGATAGAGCCATCACCAACACAAAGTATTTTAATTGTTGCTTTGGGTGGTTTAACTCGTGTTGACGAACGTCGAAAGCTCATCTGATAATTTGACCTCTGCCGTTCTTTATTAAAAAAAAAAAGAAGAAAAATGATTTATAATGTTAGACACTCGTTCCGAGCCTTCAAATACAATGAACAACAGTACTGCTCTTGCGTCGTGTGCTTCCCTTCTTTCCTTTTTTCTTTCTTTTCTTCTACGTGCTAGGCGCTGTTGTTGAATGTAAAAAATGCGTGACGAGCACCGTATGTTGCTGACACAGAGAATCAAACATACACAATAAAGTTTGGGTCGATTCACGTCACTATAAAAGTAAAATGTAAAAGAATGAAAATGAAGTAAAAAAGAAAAAGAAGAGAATTGCGATATGATGCCGTTCTACCATCATCCTATTCTATCACAGAGAAAGAAAAAGATGTATAGAACATCTCTTGCTCTATACTATGTGCACCTTTTATGATCAAATTTGCATTATAAAAGAAAGAGATTGAAATAAATTCAATTGAGATTATTAATTTGATTTATCTAGATCTCAGTTGTCATTTGTATAGTATCGAAATATGACATACAAATGGAATCTTGGATAAAAAAAATAGTAGTGATTTCCTTTTATGTCACGTTAATATTACAAAAGTTGAATTGTATTGTGCATGTCATCATTCAATAAGATTTTAATCGAAAGTACGACTATCTCTATTCATATACAACGAATATATACAATATCCCTTGTGTCGTCTATTGTCAAATTGAATTTCCTTGGCTTTGTTGTTAGCATCGTCCCACACACACACAAATATCTATCTATATATATATATACGCCAACAACGAACATGCGCAGTTTTATATGTGCGTGATTTAGATAGAGTCAAAATAAGAACAATAGCAAATATAACTACTAAGCAACTAGCGTTTCTATCTTCATCTCAAGTTGTGTCTGTGCTTATTAAGTACGAGATAAATTGAGAAAAAAAAATAGAGAAATGTACGTGCTTAGCAAGTTTTCATCTTAAAAAACATTTCTTTACATATAATCATCGATTTAGTTGAGCTTAGACTTGCACTTCTCGTTTTGTTTTAGATTAAAATATTCTCATGGCTCGATGGATTTTTTTCTGTTTTATTCTATTTATATTCCTTTTCAATCATATATCGACAATGATTTTAAATGATCAACGACATATAGTTAAACGACATATGGGTTTAGCACGTGAAAATTTTTTTCGTGCTAAACAATTTAAAACCAATAATGAAAATTTATTTCAAAGACAACAACAAGCACTTCCAGCACCTGATGTTTTACGTGATCTTTGGACAGAATTATTTAAAGAACAACATAAAATCCATGAACCATTACATACTGAAGGTTGAATGAAGAACATATATTTATCTTTTCATGGATATATATATATATTTATTTATTTATTGTATCTTTTAAATGAAAAAAAATCGAAAAGTAAATAAAACAGAAAATAAGCATTTTATTTATTTTTTAATCCAATTGTATTTGATCTTTGTATTGATGATTTATTAACATATGTTTGTCCAAGTTCAGAGATTTTATTTGAAAATGATTTCCAAATATTAAGAAGCTTTTGAAGTGGAAGAAAATAAAACATATATAAATATATTTATAAATAAAATAAATACGAGAAAATAAAAGAAGACATACATCAGATGCAACTTTTTGTTGAATATTTCCTAAACTACTTAATATATAAACAAATGCTTCTAAATTTGCATAGATTAATTGTGTTTCATTTTGTACACATTTAAGTGCATGATTATTACGTTTTTCAATTGAACTAAGACTATTATCATTCTAAAAACAAAAATGAATAGAACAAAATAATTTATTCATCTAATTATAGATATTTAATGATAATCTTTCTGATTATTTCATATATATATATATATATATATATTTAGTTTAAATTGAAAAAGATAAAGTATTAATAATCGTATGTTCACTTATTGTTTTGTAAGTAATGTTGATTATGTCAATAAAAAACATCTGTCAAGAACCTTCACAAAAAGATTGGATTACATTAACATGACTGTTCATTGATAAATAAGATTTCATATTTACAAAGCTGTCTTTATTCTAAGCCATATGAGAAATATTGTAACTGACATTCTACTGTCAACTCTATAAAGAATTTGTTAGATTTTGTATCTTCAATAAGGACACAGTAACCTATGATAAGAAAATCTTGGAAAAAAAAACACTTACTCATTTTTCCTTCAATTAAAGACAACTGATTGAAGTTAAAAGCAATTATTATCCATTTCAAATAGAAGAGCAATGGGTACGTTTTTTTTAATAACTTTCAATAGGAAGCAGATACGAACCTGCTGTTTCTACTGTTGGAAACAGGAGATGAAGAAGCATTGAATCATATATTACAGACTTTTCCGGCAAGTTTTATTGAGTGTTTTTTAATCGAGGTTTTGGCAAATCCAATGTACAGCGCTCAGTCATCACAGGAAATTTTCAATTTTTAGGAGTGCATCAAAATGGCCAATGAAAGATCTACAAAACTGTGCAAATCCCAGGTTTTTAACTTGTAACGTTTAAGAGTTCACGGTATTTTAATATGGGTTTCTACTTGATTTTTCGATAACATTAGGCGAAAGTTCCACTTTTTCGCTATATTTTCGTGAAAATTTACTGTAGCAATTGAGCTCTAACGTACATATTTTTTTGAAAAAATTCAATAGAAACTCTCAACATACTTGCCAGTAAACTCTCTAATTTATGATTCGCTGCGCCTTCATCTCCTCTTTTCAACGGTGAAAATTGCAGGCCTTTCTCGTATTTCTATCACAAGTTATTCAAACAATATCTACTGCTCTTCTATTTTGAAACGGATAATAGTTTGAATTAGACTTTTTCATTCTTTCTGAATATATATTCAGATTTTTCTTCAAAAGTAAAATTGTACAATTATCATCAAATATTTTAGTCGTACACATAGAAACTATTACCCATTTCAAAAAAGATAGGCGAGTGTACATTTTTGAATAAATTTTGATAAAAGTGAGATGGAGAGCGGTATATTATAGATATCTCTAACATGTTTTCTCAAATTTTCGAAATCAATTTGCTGGAAAAATGTCAGAAAATTGATTTCTGTTAAAATAAGAAAAATGCAAAAAAAAAAAGTGATTTTTGTTTGCACAGAAATTAATAGAAAAATTGGCTAAGAGTTTCAAATGAAATACCTATAACTCCTCAACGAGTAAATCAAAAAGTCTGAACCTTTTACAGTTTTGTAGATCTTTATTTAGTTATTCAAATGCTTACCTAATTATTGAAAATTAACCTCAGCCACCTTACAAAGTATATTGGTTTTCAAAAACATCGATTTAATTCCTTGATAAAACTGGGTCAAATTATTTTGTAATATACTGTTCGATACGTCTCCTTCTCCTTTTTACAACAGTAAAAACCTCAACCCTTTATAGTGATTCTATCAAAAAATATTCAAAAAATACTCATCTACCTTTCTTTCTAAATGGACAATAGTTCTTTAATGGAAACATGTGCATGAGATTTTGCTTAGTGTATTATCTCATTTTGCACAGAATTTAGTGTTCTATAATAATATTGAGTTGAATTTGTTTCAAGGCATAGACTAAAGATTGCGTCAAAGCTGCCATTTTGCTTTGTACAGATACATTTGTTGAACTTTTTTCAAAAAATTTACTGATGACTTGTTAATCTCAGTCCAAAAAGAAAATTTTAACATATACTCAGAAAAGGAGAAAAATTTTGATTATACCTAATTGTTCTTTCAGTAGCGCATAAATAAGCAAATATTTTATAACAAAATATTCGCACTGGTGGTTGTCTTAGTTGTGACTCAGGATGTAATCGTCATTTAAAATATTGATTTTTTAAATTCTATGTATTCAATGTGTTCATGTGTGTGTGTGTAAATATTTCTTCTTTATGCCTGCAAATTTATGACACATTCTTATTTGTTCTTCGTGTTACATTTACTATCAATAAGTATAGCCATTGATGAAATAATTCTAAATATGTTTATTTCCTGTCATATCGATAAAAAAAAACATTTACTTTGGCTGATAAATCATTTGTTGTTAGTGAACGCTTGTTTTGATTTGTTGCTCTTTGAATAGCTCGTTGTTCAACTTGTAATGCTTCTTCAAAACGTTTACATAAATCCTTTTGAAACAAAAGAAAAAGAAATAAAAAATCAAATTTTATTAAAACAGATTTTATTTGTTTTTCTTTACTTTATATCCTTGAAGTAATTCAATTAACATATCAAGATGATCATTAATAACTTCATCTTCATGTTTACATTCTTCATTAATACGTTCTGCAACAGCATTTATTTCAAAAGGTAATTCAACAAGACCACCTTGTATTGTTGGCCAATAATCATTAAGACCAGTAGCCCATCTTTCAATTGGTGTTGCATCTGTACTTATTAACCTATATAAATCAAATTTATTTCAATTATTTAAAATTCTAACAAAAACAAAGCCTACTGTAAAGCTTTTTCAATTGCTAAATATTCATCAGCAGTTTTAAAATTTCGTTCATTTATATTTTTTAAAAAAGTACGAATTTGAGAAAATTGCTGATGAAGAAATGATATATGTGTTTGACTTGTATAAAACATTCGAATACCAGTTGAATCTTCTTCATGTCTCTAGAGAAAGATTTGACAAATAAAAACAACATAGGCTTTAAAAAAATCATTGTTACTTCTATTCTATCGATAGAGCTGAATGATGTTGGTGGTTCACAACTGAATTCATCAAGTGTATTCTTAAATGTGGCTTTCAAATTATCACCAAATGACTAAATAAATATTTCAAAATAAGCAAAATGAAATTCTCCGTTTCATATATATATATATATATGTATATATGGTACGAACTGTTCCTTGAAAAGTTAAAAAAAATTTAATAATTTCTGTTTCACAAATAATCGGATGTCGACATAAAATTTGAAGATAACGTTTTAATGATCGACGACGTTCTTCAATAAATTCTTTGTCAACTAAAAACAAACACTATTGATTTAATTTATTGAATTATTTTTCACTAAAATATAGCAATCAGAAAAACTATATAAATAATCAATTTTTCATATAGCAACTTAATAAAAATCAAATGAAACTAGAGACCATTAACAGCTTTTTTTGGTGGAAGTTGTGGTATTATTCGAAAGGGATATTTTAATGATAATATTTCATGCAAAGCAACAAAGTCATTATATCGACGTGAAACCTTGTTCTTATAATGCTGATAGGAAAAGAAAAGAAAAGAACGATAAAACACATAACAACAATATCAACAACAATAACAATTATAAAACATTTACCATGCTTGTTACTTCATATTCAAAATGTCGTATAATAACACCTTGAGATAGAGAGACATACGCAATTGTATATTGTTTTAATAAATTATTTTTACCTTTTCTCTCAGGTGCATTAACTTGAATAGTATCTAATGAACAAAGATCACCATAACGAAAACAGAGTGTAGTTTTTCTTTGTTCACTACGTAGTATACGAATTAAACGATCTTCTAACTCATTTAAAGTCTCTATTGTTGGAATTGGTAATTCTAAAAGAGAAAATATCATCATGTTTCTTGTTTACTCACTTATATATTTTATATAATACCTCGGTTTACATAATTATCAAGTAATTTTTCATCAACAATTTTCCCTTGTTGAACAAGTGCCATTAATGCCAAACATTTATAAAAATCATTACGTGAAGAAAGTGAATCAGTCTTTATAACTGCATTCCAAATCTAAAGAAGGATATAGATGAATTTTATTCTAGTTTTTTTTCTTATAAAACTCAAACCTGATTTAATATTGTTTTTGTCAATGTGTTCGATTCAAATAAAGGTACGAATACACCAAGTGTTAATTTATCAATACCATGTAAATTAATCATTTCAAATAAATTACGATAAATTGATGGAATGGAACCTATATATAAGCATGAATATAGCTTAAACTTGAATTATTATTTATTTTGATTATTACCTGCACTCAAATCTACCGGCATTTTCGTAAATAAAATAACACGTTGTACTTGTATAAGATACAGAAGAAAAATAAAATGAAGAACTTATCTAAAGAGATAAAACCATCTCAATTAAAGCAAACATCTCGATAGAGATCGCTCAATTACGACAATAATATTCAATAAACAATTCATAATTCTAATAACTTTTCAATATTTATTTCATAAACTAAAACTTTAGCTTTGAATAATACAATTTTTTTGAACAAAATCATAATAAATACAAAAAAATCAATATCATTCAGTAATGGCTGAATTTCGATGTTTTTTTTTTTATTTTTGTATTGCGTGATTATTGAGTTTATTTCATTCTATTATGAGACATGATGTCATAACAAACTTGATTGAAATATAACCTTTGAGCAACTATATCTATAGAGTTAATATATTTTTGTAGTTTTTTTTTGTATGGTCATTTCTATTTGCTTTGATCAAGCCAATGTATTTTGAAAAAAAAATCATGCGGAAAATTAGAATGTTTTTTTTTGGATAGAAGAAGACATCAACTTGAACTAGTCGTAAACTACAACAGAATTCATCATTAATAAATATTTTTGTTGATTCGAAAATTTTATCTAATAAATAAGTGTCATAAACAAAGACAAAGTCGAGTACAAAAATATTGTGAATCATTGTATTAATCGGATAGACAAAATGACATTAAATGATAGCATCATTCATTTTAGAAGCTAATATTCACAAGGTGATTAATGTAATGATAATTCGGGTAAGATAATATGTACATTTTTTCATCGACTAGTTTTAATCCAGCATAAAACTTTTCTTCCTTTTATTGTTCATACACTGAAAAGATGCTTTATTCAATAGTAAAGACAAATTTTTCATATTTATTCGTTAGAAAGAAAAACACTAAACCATGGAATATTTAACTAAAAAATTTTAGTCAGAATAAAATGTGATTTGATATAATCAAGAAAACAAAAATAAAGTAGCTCACAGAATCGAAATAAACAATAAAGATTCATAGTATTTTTTTTTAACAAGAAACTGAATAAACTTTGTTCGATAGAATACTTTTAATGTTAGACGAATGAATTTTTCATATATTCTATTGTAAAAGAAATTTTTTTTTTTATAAAGTTCAGCTTTGAATGGTTTCGTTTTGATAGTTTATTTTTATGTAAACAACCTACAAAAACATGAATGTATTTTTCTCTACATAGAAACCAGTTGATCTAAACTTGAGTTACAATGAATAAACGCTCAAGTCAATTTTTTCTGCGCAAAAAAAGTTACAATACAACAATTAAAATTGTAAGCAGCTTCGAGTTAATACGCAATATGAAATAATCTTTACGAATAATTTATTCTACAAGACACATGCCTCAGCCATAATAGAAAAAAACAGATTATATACAAATAATATTTTTATTTTGACAAGAAAACAACATAGTAAAATCTTCTTTATAGTTAAAACAAGTATGCAGTTCTTTAATCATATTAAAACTATTAAAGATAAATTTCTGCAATTATAAAAAAAAAAATTTTTTTTTTACAAGCGATTGTTTCAATTAAAAATGTCAATATTTATTATCCAAAACACATCTTTAGAATTAAATATTTAATTTATATTTATTCAGTTTCCTGTCAGTTTCAAAAAAAAAACATAATAGTTTTTGTTCCAATTACATAATTTATACATCAGTAAAATCCAATAATACATTTAGTTCTAGAAAATAAGATTTATTACAAAACTCAAATAAACCAAGATTTATTTCACAAGTTTTGTTTTGTTTTTAATCATTATCCTTAAATCGATGGTAAAATCCATTATGATTAATAAAAAAGAAAGCAATCTATAGTGACGTTAAGTTTATTTCAGAGAAAAATTTGCTGGAAAAAATAAGGAATTCATCTCACATATTTTTCATAAGTAAAATGTGATTAGTTTGTAGTCATAGTTTATTTTTTACATTTCATCATACTTATAAGTCTCAACAATACATTTTCAGAATACTATAAGTACAACTAGTCGACCAAAACAACTTTTCTTAATTAAATATTAAAATCAAGTAATTTTCTTCGTTAAAAATTGTAAGTTCTACGTTTTTTACTCTTCGAATAACAAAAAATCTTTAATAAATATCACAAGGTATTCTTTTTTCATGCAAAAAAATAGCACGACAAAAAAAAGGAAGGATAATGCGTTTTTTTTCTTTTCTGTTCTTCGCGAACAAAATAAAATCTACAAGAACGTACTAGAATATCAATGTTTATGTCAAAATGTCATTATTTAGTAGTTTTCAAAAAAAAACAAAATCTTCTCATATGAAAATAATTCCAAATTCATTCTATAAAAAAATTATGTGAAAAAAAAAGACAATTAATTTGTTATCATATACAATGATAATATATTAATGATTTTTATTAATCTATAGAATATTTTTGTCTTAAAATCTTCCTCTTTCCTCATTCTAATCATCATACATTAAAAATTAATTTATGAAAAATTTATCATAAGTGTTAAATTTTAAATGAGCATGGAAAAAATAATAATAACTTTTTATAACTTGCAAAGGACATGTCGTTGGACTTTTTCTTTTATATGTGTTGTCGTCATCATGTAATAGAAGAAGTAGAGTACAAAAAAAAAGAACGAGCGAGCGAGCAAACGCGAGCAACCGAACGCAGACTATATACGTCGAGCAACAGAACGTCAACAACACATACACAGACATACAACATATATAGACATACACACCATCATCACCATTAGTATTAATACTCACAACCATTTTCATTTCAACAAACTTTTTTTTTATGTATAACGAATGACAGAATTGGGAATTTTGTGATTTTATATTACTTAGTTAATTAAAGATCTATTAAATAGAATAAAAAAGTTATATTCATGAGGACAGTTCACGCATATACACCTGCACAACAACAACAACAGCAAGAACAACAACAACAACAAGCATCATCATCGACAAGTCAACCAACTTTACATCAACATTCATCTACGAGTGGTAAGATTACTGAAGTATATCCTTTTTTTTCCTATCTTTCAAAGAAAAAAAACAATAAAAGTAATAAATATAACTTAAATTTTTTTCTTTTCTGTTCTTTTTGTTTAACATTAGATAGAAATTTGTTTTTTTGTTTCTTTTTTTGAATAATCAGCTGACTATGAGTATATTTATTTCTAATAGGATATCCAAGTGTACGCCATAGTCTTCTGCGTATGCATAGTCAATTACGATCAGCACCAAATGGAAGAGAATCTACACAAGGTCCTATTGATTTAAGTCTCTATCGTCTTCCACGACAACCACCTAAAATGGCAGCACGTTCGACAAGCACAGCAAATACTGCACTTCGTACTATTCCTACTATTACACCATTGGCTAACCCACCTACCCATACTATTTATAGCAATGCTGTGCCTTCTTCATTTACATCATCAAAAACAGCGACATCCATTAATAATCAAGAACAAAATACAAAGAGTAAGTTTCACTAATAGCAGAAAATTCCAAGTTAGTTTGGAAAAAATAATTTTTTTAACATTTTCGATAATGAATATACGTTGATTTTAATTTTTTTAGTGCAAAATTCATGTTCAACTAGCAGCGTTACATCAAAATGTTCTTATTCTCGTCCTGCTCCTATTCCGTCACCAAAATTAGCTTATTCATATTCAAATATAGAAGAAAATCTTCAATGTCCATTATGTATTGATCGTTTACGCGATCCTCGTGCATTACCATGTCAACATGTATTTTGTTGTTCATGTCTTAAATCAATTCCTTCATCTAATATACCATATCCAACTATAGTTTGTCCATTATGTCGTCGTACATTTCCATATAATGGTGCTGATCAATTTCCTATATCATATATACATCGTCAATTACTTGAATTAGTTCCAAAAAACTATGATATTAATGGTAAATGTACAAAATGTCAAGAAAAAGGTTCATTAATATTATGTTCATGTTGTGATTTTCTTTTATGTCAAAAATGCTTTATGAATGATAGAGAAAAACTTATTGATAATATTCAACATATTGTTCAAACATGTTATCATCGTCTTAATCGTATACATACAACACGTGATCAATTGAATGATTTAAATGAATTAAATCGTAAAAAAATTCAACAAATTGAAGCAATATTTTCAAATTTTGAAAGAAAATTTTTTGAACATAAACAATCAATAATTAATTCATTAAATAAATATAATGTACAAATAACAAATCATTTTTGGTCAAAATTAAATATATCAACTCGTAATACAACTGAACCATTTATTGATTTATTAAAACAAGCTGAATTATTTATACAGAAATCTCATACTATACAATTTGATGATATTGTATCATTATTTCGTAATTTAAATTCAATTAATGAACAACTTGAATATGCTAATTCATTAATTGATACATATGATGTACAAAATCTATTAAAACAAACAATACGAATAAATAATTATAATTTAGATGAACAAACATGTGTACATTTAAATCAAATAGATAGTACAGAAAAAATTCTTCCATTATTACCATCAACAATTTTACCTCGATCAACAAAACGTTTACGTAAAACTGAACCTAAAAGACATATTGAACAAAATAATGATGAAGAAGAATATGATGATAATGATGATGATAATTTACCTATATTAAAACAAATGAAAGTTGAATATCATAATGATATGAATTTTGATCCATCATCATCACCAACAAATTCTGTACTTTGCTTAAATTTTTCAAATAATGAACATCAACAAGATGAACTCGATAATGATGATGATATTATTTATATTGAAACAATTCAAGCAAAATCACCAGCAACAATTAGTTTTGAAGAACTATTTCAAATGATTGGTACAGAAGAATAAAATTTATTCTAATTTGGACAGAATACTTCTTAAAAATTTCATATTTATCTATCTGTCTAGTCTAGTGTACCAAGAAAAAATATCTGTTTTTTATAGCATACTCATATATATATACATA